AGATCAGATCAGATCAGATCAGATCAGATCAGATCAGATCAGATCAGATTAGATAGAAAGAAAGAAAGAAAAGAAAGAAAGAAAGAAAGAAAGACAGAAAGAAAGAAAGATAGATAGATAGATATATAGATAGATCAAGATATAGATAGAAAGACACAGATAGATAGATACATAGATAGGTAGATAGATAGATAGATAGGTAGATAGATAGATAGATAGATACATAGATAGATAGATAGGTAGATAGATAGATAGATAGACAGATAGACAGATAGACAGATAGACAGATAGACAGATAGACTGATAGACTGATAGACAGATAGACAGATAGACAGATAGACAGATAGAGAGATAGAGAGATAGAGAGATAGACAGATGGACAGATGGATAGATAGACACACAGGCAGAGATAGATAGATAGATGGATAGATAGATAGATAGACAGATAGACAGATAGACAGATAGACAGATAGCCAGACAGACAGACAGACAGACAGATAGACAGACCGACAGACAGACAGACCGACAGACAGACATATAGATAGATAGATAGATGGATGGATGGATGGATGGATAGATAGATAGATAGATTCATAGATTCATAGATTCATCGAATAGATAATAAACGAAAAGATAAGAAAAGTTGAGATAAATTAAGATAAGATGGACAGATAGATAGATAGATAGATAGATAGCTAGATAGAAAGAACAAATAGTTTCGATTAGATTAGCTTGGGCTAGAGCAGATTAGATTAGATTAGTAGATAGATCGATAGATAGATAGAGAGATCGATAGATAGATAGGATTTGCGAAGTGCCAATCATAGAACCAGCTAGTGGGTATATGAACTCGCGCTTTCATGATTACTAGTTGTTACTATTTCTGGAGATATCAGAGAGTCCACGGCTCGTGTTGGCGAAGCAAGCTGCCTATTCATTCAGGAGTGAAAAAAATGTTGCTCAACTAAGGCCATCTCGAACCTACGATTCCTCCACAATCAGACGGAGGTGCGGCAGATGTTAGCTATAAGGCTGCAATTGCAGCAGCTATACCAATTATTCAACCCTTTTGTGCGGACAGGCATTCATTGACCGAGACATAGTGCGCACAGTAATGCAAAACAGATTGAATTTGCTTGTGTCCGATGCTTCAGGAAGACGGGCTGGCACCTGAAGAAGATAGGCTGGCATCTGAGGAAGAGGACGGATTAGCCTCAGAGGACGAGCGTTTGGAACGAGAAGCAGCTGCAAGAGAAGCAGAAGAGGCCGATAGCAGTGGGGTGGTGCTGTGAAAGACAGGGAGATTACAAGTTAAAAGAGATTAGATATGATTAACTTAAACCTCATTTGGTCAGTTTTCAGCACTTAGACGCAGATACCGTACCTGGGCCTTTTGCAAGTTATTTTTCTACCATTGAGTTGCAGCAGGTCCATCAGTGGGAAGTGGAAGATGTTGTGGTGGCTTGGCCCAATCTTAGTTTTGCTTTGCTTCACCTTGTATACGGCAAAGTCGAAAATCGAAAGCATGACTGGAAGCAAAATGCAAGTCTATTTCGGCGGGTCGCTTTTATCGGTAAATGTTCACAAAGAATTCACAAGGACATACAAAGACCATGTTGGCGCCATCACTTTTTTCAAGTGCCTGACAAAGCCCACAGCGGTAGATGGGTAAATCACGTATCATTTGTACCATTTTGTAGCAGGTCTATCAAGCACCTTCAGTGTCAAGGATCATTGTGCATCATGGGGCAGTGATTTCAAGCATCACACAGTGCAAAGTGAAAGGAACTGCATGGCCTGGAATCTGCTGCCCTCAACGGCCAGGCGTGATAGGGAAGCAAAAGGCAAACATATTGGTAGATTATGCATTGATACATCTTGAAATCATGCTGATACATGTGAAATAGTTCAGTTATCCCCCTGGTTTTTTCCTATTACTTTTTTGGATTTCTTGCAGGCTTACGCAGTAGAAACACCGAATTCCAAGTTCCTTTTCCGCCCTTCATCCAGACATAATTTTTGGAATGATAGCCTTACTGATGATGACCAAGTTTATATATCTTTGGATATTGCACAACACATCGGTACACACTTGCGGATCAATGTCTTCTATTCCAATGTTCATTAAGTGTGGCCCCTTTGACCCATGAAAATAACTTATTGACACATGTTCTTGGAGTTGAAGAGTTACTGTACGCTGACCTCCCGATTTTCTACATGGGTTTTCCCCAGTGTGGTTTCTTGGGATTGTTTTTTTTTCCTCCTCCCACTTGTGGGATCGTGATCGCAAGTGTGTAGCGCGTATTGCCATCAGAAGATTCATGATGCAACCCTCACCTGCATCGTTGGCCGAATTGTAGTACTGGAAATCGCAGACCAGCAGTTGGCAAAAAAAGGTTCCTCCCGGCATGCCCAAGCCCTGCAGGAGTTAGATCAATGCAAAGTGCAAGTGAATGACCTCCGGTCAGCTCAAGAACAGCTCGCAGAAATCACAGAGATTTCAAAGGAGTTCCGTGTGCTTAGCACATTGTCATCGGTACGCACATGCGGATCTTTGTTAATTAAGTGTGGCCCCTTATTGACACATGTTCTTGGAGTTGAAGAGTTACTGTAAGCTGGGCTCCTACTTTGTGATGCTGATGTTTCGCGTCGCTTTCGCAGGAGCGCGACGAAAGCAGCGAAGAGATTGCCCGAATGCATACTCTGGAAGAAAAATACAAGGCAGAGATAGCCCAGCTTGCTAAGGACAGTCAGGTTGTTTCCAGTTTCACGCGAATACAGTGACCCATTATGATTATTTTAGCACGGTCTCCACCCCAAAATAAAGGACATGTTTTCGTGGAGGCCAACAATGACATGCAATGATAACATGTAACGACTTAGTCACGTTGCTTTTTAGGTTGCTTGATTGACTGATTGATTGTTTATTGTAGATGCATGATTTGTCAGGATCATTCATGTGTGCGAAGGCCTTTACTCCCAACATGCCCAAGTCTTGTAAATGATCCGAACATGCAGGAGTTGGATGATGCGAGATCACTGGTGAACGAATTCCGGAAAACTGAAGAAGAACACCTCGCAGAAATTGCTTGTATATCCAAGGAGCTTGAAAGCTTTGAGCCTTTGGTATCCCTTGGGTGCATTATGGTGCATTACTGGCTTCTTCCGTGAGAGCATGCAAGAACAATCAAGAAATGTCCTTATTTTTCCGAACTCCCAGACCCATGCATCTCAGTCCAGACAGAATCAATTCTTAAAGGCAGACCGACCGATTTGTTCTACTTTGTGATGCTCATAGTTCCTTTCACTTTTGCAGGAGCGCGACGAATTGAAAGAAAAATACGAAGCAGAGGTGTCTCAGCTGTAAGATGAACAATTTCTCAGTAGATGTGCTGTAGTTATGCCAAGTATTCGATTGTCGAACCCTCAATTGGATGGTTTTAGGACAGAGACTAGAGTGCCAATCCATTCACAGAGAATACATTCAGTTGGCAAGAAAAGATTCATAAGGCTTGTGAAAAAACATGGGAATGAAAAAACCTGCTGTCAAAACACACGGAGCAGCGTCTTTCGTATAAACGCAATGAAAATATATGCTGGCAAACGCAGCGCGACCTCCAACTGTTCATGACAACCAGGTCAGTTGTTACATGCTTCATTTTTTGCTCCTCACAACAGGCTGCTCTGAAAGTTTAGTGCGTGATATATGTGTAGTTCATCAAATACAGATCGACGCGATATCGGTGAAAGTAGGGAAATGCTTCGTTTGTCCACTTTTCCAAAATGTTCCAACAGATGGGAACTGTTTTGCTGGACCACTGTGTGAAGCAACCTGTCAGGCCAAAAAGTCGCATTTGTGCCCCAAATGTGTGGAAACAGAGGAAGCTCGCTTGGAAGCAGAAGCAGCTGCAAGAGAAGCAGAAGAGGAGGCTGCAAGAGAAGAAGAGCGTCGAGCAGCAGAAGAAGCAGCACGGCTGGCGATCCAGGAGGCTGGTAGGAAGGCACATGCTGCCATACGGGCTGAACAGGAAAGGCTGGAAGCAGAGGAAGCAGCTCGCTTGCAAGCAGAAGCAGCTGCAATAGAAGCTGAAGAAGAGGCTGCAAGAGCAGAACATTGTCGGACAGCAGAAGAAGCAGCACGATTCACAACACAAGAGGCTGCCAGAAGGGCTGAATTGGAAAGGCTGGAAGCAGAGGCAGCAGAGGAAGCAGCTCGCTTGGAAGCAGAAGCAGCTGCAAGAGAAGCAGAACAGGCTGATAGCAGTGGGGTGGGGGTGGTGCTGTGAAAGACAGGGTTAAAAGTTAAAGAGATCAAATTATTAAATATTTTTATACTATATATACGTCATTTGGTGAGTTTTCAGGATTCGGAGGGGTCTTGGGTCAGCAGTTAGACACAGATACCGTACCTGGGTACCTGGGCCTTTTGCAAGTTATTTTTCTACCATTGAGTTGCAGCAGGTCCATCAGCGGGAAGTGGAAGATGTTGTGGTGGCTTGGCCCAATCTTAGTTTTGCTTTGCTTCACCTTGTATACGGCAAAGTCGAAAATCGAAAGCATGACTGGAAGCAAAATGCAAGTCTGTTTTGGCGGGTGGCTTTTATCGGCAAATGTTCACAAAGAATTCACAAGGACATACAAAGACCATGTTGGTGCCATCACTTTTTTTCAAGTGTCTGACAAAGCCCACAGAGCGGTAGTTGGGTAAATCACGGATCATTTGTATCATTTTGTAGCAGGTCTATCAAGCACCTTCAGTGTCAAGGATCATTGTGCATCATGGGGCAGTGATTTCAAGCATCACACAGTGCAAAGTGAAAGGAACTGCATGGCCTGGAATCTGCTACCCTCAACGGCCAGGCGTGATAGGGAAGCAAAAGGCGAACATATTGGTAGATTATGCATTGATACATCTTGAAATCATGCTGATACATGTGAAATAGTTCAGTGATCACCCTGGTTTTCTCCTATTATTTTTTTGGATTTCTTGCAGGCTTACGCAGTAGAAACACCGAATTCCAAGTTCCTTTTCCGCCCTTCATCCAGACATAATTTTGGAATGATCGCCTTACTGATGATGACAAAGAATTCACAAGGACATACAAAGACCATGTTGGTGCCATCACTTTTTTCAAGTGTCTGACAAAGCCCACAGAGCGGTAGTTGGGTAAATCACGGATCATTTGTATCATTTTGTAGCAGGTCTATCAAGCACCTTCAGTGTCAAGGATCATTGTGCATCATGATGGCCCTTTTTGGCTATGGATCAGATCAATGAGAGTTGTACATAGACATCTGAAGATCGAAACCATACAATCTGAGAGGAGCTTATGTGATTCGAAGTTGCGAGGCAAAACCGCAGCAAATCTCCTGAAAATCCGCCAGGATCCTCGGATCATCGTCTCTGTGGGAAGGCTCCTCGCATCAGTGGGCTGTTTCCGTTTGTGAGTTCTCGGTGGACTCGCAACGGGTACAGATGGTACATGATGGTACCATACAATCTAAACAAGTATCATCCACAAGAGAACACATAGCTAATGTCAAGCCTCAATCCTTCTTCACTTCGTGATGCTCGAGCTTGTCATTTTTGACGCCGATGTGCCAATGGCAAAATATCAAAGATAGAGTAAAGCGCTGATCGAAGATGACTATCCCTCAGTCCATGGAAATATTCCCAATGAGAACAAGCAAAATATCAGGCTTTCATTTAGCGTCCTTGGCATCATTGCTACAAGATGGTACCTTGATGGAAGGTCCCACCCCTGGCGCACCGGGTAAGTCTACCGGATTGTCGCCAGCGAAAGGTTTGCCGGGGTGCAGGAAACCATCAAAGTTTTCGAGGACTGTGGGATGACTGTCAAGTGTACGCCCATTTTGATGCATAATATTGCATAGTCATATGTTGTTCACAGGGTTCATACCCAAAAAGCGGTAGCCAGGGGTGAAGTCATTGTTCACCCATCCAACTACAGTGATATCTTTGCCTGAAACCGAGATCCATTATATAACTTTGCGTGATGCACTCAAACTTTGCACTTGTTCAAAGTTCAAAGTCACAATAATTTTTCCATTCTGTGGAGTTTCGTTGTTTGCTTTGATGCAGTGATTGAAATTTCGACTCCATGCCAGGATCCCAAGCGACGCCCGCTGAGAATTCGGTGGTTTGAGCCCATCAATGTGTTTGAGGTGAGGGCGTTCGGCATGTCTTATTTTAAATATATTTGAAGTTTTTCTTGCAGTTTTTTTCCTATCTACGTGAGGTGATTTGTGTGAAACTCTAAAGAAACCCTGAATGAAACCCTAAAGAAACCAAAGGTGAAACCCCAAATGAAGCGCTAAAGGAACCCTAAATGAAACCCTACCCTAACGACACCCCAAATGAAACCCTAAATTACATGAAATCCCAAATTACATGAAACCATAAATCAAAAGAAACCATACATGAAACAAAAAAAATCACGCCGCTCCGCGGCAAGGTCCGCCCGCACCGCTATGAAACAGTGTTTTTGAGGGTCAGATTGCCAAACACAGCACTATTTACCGTATTTTTTACAATGTTTTTACGCTCTGCGAGGCAGAAACCACTGCAAATGGCGATGTTTTTGAGCTGGCCGTGGCCGAAAACACCGCTATTTGTGAGGTTTTTTTTTCAGTTTCGCGCAAAGCTGTCAAGCTTAGGCAACGTACAAAAGCACTGTAAAAATCAACATTTCTGCCCAGCAAAAACGGCAAAAAACATCCCCCAAAGAGCTTCTAAATCGCAAAAATTGCTTCCCCGGCCTCCCGACAAGACACAGCGAAAAAAAAACACGTTTCAAAAGAGAAAAAAATCGACGACCAAAAGTGAAAAAACGCAGGTATTTTTCACTTTTGTCTTGCCGGTTCCGGGCGGGCGCGTGCACGAACATGTCCACTTCGTACTATAAAAAACAATGCTTTTTGAAGTTCGATGTCGTGACCCACGAAAAACGCAGGGTTTTGGAAAAATGCTTTCCCCCAGGTAAACATGTACCTTGCAGTTGTTTATGCCATCCGGATGTTCACGCCGTGAGCACCTTCGGTGCGGGCAGATTTCAAAAATACAACTGCATGAAACTTTCAATGAAACCCCACAACGCCCCAAATAAAACCTTGAATGAAACCATAGATGAAACCCTAAAGAAACCCGAAATGCAACCTTGAGGAATCCCTTCAAAAAACCTGATGAAACCCCAAAACAAATCTTCAATGAAACCATGACAAAAAACTTGGATTACATCTTAAAGAAACCCTAAATGCCACCTTAAGGAAACCCTAATGAAACCTTAAAAAAAAACCTTAAATGAAACCCTAATGAAACCTTACATAAAGCCCTAAATGAAGCCCTAAAGAGACCTCAATGGACTCTAAATGACATCCCAAAGTAGCGGAAAACTACACCATAAAGAAACCCTGAGCTACAGATACTTGAAAGATACCCCTTAAAGAAGCCTAAGGCCCTAAATGAAACCCTAAAGAATTTCTGAAACCATCTAAAAACCCATTGAAGACCATCAAAAAATTGATGAAAACAATCCAGACATCATTGAAAACCATGGGAAAATCAGTGAAAACTAAGCTGTTTCAAATACCAGGCAAATTTACGATTTTACTTCCCCAAATTTGCGAGTTTAGCTCCGAAATGCCGCGGATAGATGCAAATAGCATTCAAATTGAAAGATTTTAGCTTGAAAACGCGGGAAATCGCACGCAAACCGGAGGTTTTAGCTCCAAGATATAGTAAATAGCAAGGAAAACTCTCCCAAACTGGAAAAAATCAATCAAAAAGCATCCGTTTTTTTCCTGACTGCTATGATTGCGATCAATGAATATGTGTTTCAAATTCTATTTCAATTTGGCTGGGTGATACCCATGTTGGATTTTGTACTCCTATCTTAAACCTTTGAACACGTGTTGGGTATTTTTCTACTCACCCAACTTCGAACACATGTTGAAGGCAAGAGCTTGGTCCCCCATATCTCAGATTTGTCTTGTGGGTCCCCGTTGTCCTCATATACCGCAAATGTGCCGGAGGTTTGCATGTCCCCTGATCTAGTGTTTTTGTGATCGTTTTCCAGCTCCATTTTGTGTGTTTGGTGCTTCAAGACAGAGCCAAAATGTCCCAGCAGCACCTTGAACTCTCAAAAACACAAACTTCCCTACCGCTGCATGATACCGATCTTTGTGGTATGGTGCTTTCGGACCCCTGAGCCAACTTCGTCATCTCTTGCTTTAAAGGGCTACTACAGACTGACTCGGAGAAATGGTGATCGTGGACAGAACCTAATTACGCTTACGGAAAAGCAGAACTTCCAAGCAGAGCCGGCCCAGGGGTCTGAAAGCATCTTTTTTTCCTTTGGTCTTATGATCGGATGATCCCTAAAACGAAGTTTACCAACCTGCATGGTCAATACCTGCATGGTCAATGCTATTTTTCTGCGGCTTTAGGATGCTATCAGCCATTGCCCAATTGACCAGAAATTGTACCACTGAGCAAGCCGCAACACCAGGAACGCCGCTTCGGGCCACACTTCAAGGTGCCAAGTGTTGGTGACAGGGCCTATAAAATTAATATAGATGAGCAAGATTGACCAAACAATTGGTATATAATCAATCTTTATTTTTTTTTTGCGGTTTGGGTATACTAGTTTGGTCATCCTGACCAACAGCTGGTGGGTTCTGAACTGTTTGGACAGTTGGCCGACATCTATTTGATGCATCAGCGATGCCCAAACGGGATCGAAATAGGACAGTTTTGAGTTCTTCAAGCTTTAGGACTCCAAACTATTTTGGTTGAGACATTCCAACGTTTGGGAGTATCTGCTGCTTTCACTGTCATTCATATTCATATGTCGTTTATTCAGTTTCATATGCATCCCTGCCTTGTGTTTTTGGTATCATTTTCATTGTGCTTGATTACTCCATGCCGCTTACTTCGCCAGTGCCCTGCCAGGATATCACCTTCAAGGCGCCAAGCGCAGGTGGCGGGTGATCTAGAGCTTCCTTGTGCGGTTTCACCGTGGTCTGGCAACCAGACTCCCTCTAGGATCTAGACGTGTCGTTTGCACGGGAGAAAAGAAAGGTGCGCCAGTCATTTTGCATCTGGTACGGGTGCAGGTGGTTGCCCTCCCTTTTCCTTGTGCTGAGCAACATCAGATTGAGTGTGCACTCCGTTGGTTGAGGTATGGCTGGCGTCGAAGTAAACACCCAAGAAAGAAATAACACATACTCAAACATTACAAAGCAGTCGGATTCCCACCTGAATGCAAGGTGGTGCTGCAATGTCGCAGACGTTATTCCCGAACTTACAATCAAAATTGTGGGCCACGAAGGGGACCACACTGAAGGGGTAGCAAATCCTTACCCAGCCATGCAATGTCGCGAAAAAGGAAGGCTGGGAAAAAACAGGCACTACTGAATACGTCTGGGAAGCCCTCGTGTTTTTTTTGACTCATTTCGCGAAAAAATAAGGCTGGGAAAAACCTGGCACCGCTGAGCAAGTTTGGGAAGCCTTCGTGACATCTTGACTCATTCAGCAAACAGCAGGTCTTGGAATTGGCTGCCATGGTGGCAGGCCAGGTGAAACAAAGACTGAGGTGGTTCTCAATTAGTGCAACTGATTTATTATGCTTCAAGGTATGCCAAGCGTGGAATGATGCGTTCTCAATCCAAGAATCCACATGGGTATGGGCGGCGGAGATATTGATAGGTGTTTGGGCAGTGGTTGGGCAGTGGTTGGGCAGTGTGGTCTCTTTGAAATTAGTTTTTCAGAGAAACACAGCTTGTGGCGAGCGGACCTTGCTACGGTTGTTGTATTTTGTGGGGATGAAATTCAATGCCAAACAGCAGCATTTGCCCACATGGGATGTAGCGATCTGACATGCCCCATAGGTCAACAGCATGTCCCTTGCCATCATTCCCCATGCTCTGCACAACAGATGCGCCCTTGGCCACACGTGATCGGCGAGCTCCGAGTCTGCCACGCTGCACCTCAGCGCTGCGGTCAATGGCAGGAGTGGGGAGCCTAGGGCCTCGATGCGTGGGACGGATCTGGTGATGTGAGTCCTGATGGATTTCGGGTGCATTGAAATCCAGTCATCATCCCCGGTTCTCATCCAGATAGTGAACTCTTCGTGAACTCTGAGGCTCGAGAGTGGCAAAATGCCACAGCTTTCTTGGAGGATGCTCTGGAAGTGATGGCGTGCACATTCAGGGAATCTGAGAGAAGCAAGAAGATACAACAGATCTAAAATTTCTACATATTTGATCATGGGAAACCTGAAACATGTAAGAATAGAAACAGGGAGTTGTGAGCCAAGGTGAGTCAGAAGCCTAAATGATGGATTCCTTCCAGGCACTTCTCTTACATCAGCCGCACATGGCATATTTATGTTTGGTAGCGCAGCAATTCCTTCTGATTTCCAATCTCATTGAATTCGGAATACAATCTCATTCAACCCCAGCAAACCTTGGGTGCTTGTTTCCTCCAGGAGATGTGGCGTCAGGGTCCGCGACCTAACGCAACCTGCCTAAATGCTGGCATTGGTGCGTGTTCTCGTGTCCGGACCTCATAGTGTCACAGGGGGATGCTGCTAGGCGCTCAGAACATCCCCCTGGCCCCTCGCGGCCCATAAATATTCCCGCAAATGACGAGTGCGGCGAGTAGGTGGAAACATCACCAACATGACGCAGGTTTCAGTTGTGTGATTTCCCAGAACAGCAATTGCAAGAGTTCAGGAAGTCAAGGGGGCATCCTGAAGTCATAGTGTCCCCAAGTAGATGAGCTGTCTTGGGGCATCGGGCATACAGTGTGACTCTTGGTGAGCAAATCATATGCAGCCAGCAGCAGGATACGATCGTTTTTCTTCTCAATTTGCAGAGCAGGCTGTTTCCATCGTTCTGTAGCCTGGATTGCTCTAGTCACTTTTCTTCTTTCTGGTGGATCCAGTGCCTGTTCAACCGGTTGTACGCGGCTATCTATCTTCAAGCTTGATTGACCTGCTGCTGAAACAGGCAGCAGTCAAGTCAAGCAAATCAATTCAAAGTTGATGGATCTTGGCTAGCAGTCGAATTCATATATATATATATAGATAGAGTTTTGTCTGGGAAACTGCAGGAAATTCCGGCTTCAATGCGGATTGGAGTTGGCAATTTTGGCATGTGGCAACAGGCATGCGTCGCTGGCAACACCGCATCAATTCTTAGGAGCCTTAGCTACAAAACACACCTGCCATGCCGGCTGTGATCGAAGAGTACCAAGATCCTTTACCATGGAGGTGGGGCCTGTCAGCAGTGGACATCTGCAGCACTTCAGCCAGAAATCAAGGTGCGAATGAAAATCTTCCCCAGATTCATACCTTGGGTTTTATTTCATCTCCTATTCATCTCCTTTATCCAAGTTGAAGCATTGGATCCATGGGAAGAAAAACCCAAAGGCCAATGTGCCCAGGTTTGAGGAGGAAGGCAGGAGTAGCGAACTCCGCGCCCAAAGCTGGGAGAATGACCTGTGCCAGGTGCAGTTGATGCAGTTGGTGAGTCTCACCAAAAATGTACGCAGAAAAAACACCAAACATCACCAAAGAAGTTGGTACACTGCAGCCATTTTTTGATAGGTGAAGTTGCTGGCCATGCACCGCCCGACCCATGACTCAGACCGGGAGAAGGTGCATTGATTCTGGATGGGAAACCCTTGGGTGAAAGGGGTAGCCAAATTTGCGGAATCTCCGAAATGCGTCGAAATGCACCATTTTGGGAATACGAAAACATCACACATGAAGATGCTTGTGGGTCGGAAGTAGTGGTTGGGTGATGAGTTTAAATGGAACATGTACTGTATCCTTTTTAATCATTGTCTCAAAAGAATTCATCAACGTTTGGAAATTGGGTTATTGGATGGCTGGAGTTTACATATTGATCATAAAAATCATCCAAAGTTGGATCATTTTCGCATTGAAACCCATGGTGTCTTGGGGAGCCTCCATGACTTGGGAAACACCATATTGTGATTTTACAGAACAGGTTGTGGTTCAAAAAATCAGCTGGCCATGGTAAGGATGGGGATTATCCCTTCAGCTGGCACCTTCGCGGACGGAAGCGCAACTGGGAACTCAGGCGCCGGCCTTAGAGGCCTCAGAGCGGGCGCATGGAAGAGGCTTTCAAGTTGGAATGGTTACATCATGCAGGGTTTGGTAAATATCCCAATATTTGGGGATTTTGAAGATCACTTGAAACAGTATCTGTTGGAGATTATATCCCCAATATTTGGGTGAACAGTTCAATTAGGACATTTACCAACCCCTGTCATGCTACATCATGCTACATCCACTGAAAGTTACATCCCAACAGTATCTTGATCGCCCAAGCTGTGTGGAGGATGCAGCTCCAGTTCAAGGTGCTTCCCAAGGCGCAGTTCACCCTGCCTCGCTCCCCCTTGGTCGGGTGCAAAATCCAGACGCACCTACAAAACACCGAAGAATACTCGCAAGAGTAAGTTCACATAGAAAAACCAAAAAGTAAACTGGCTAAAATTTGAGTGAACCACTGTTTTTTTTTTGAAGCAAGTCTTCGGATTGAACCTTCCCAAAAAACATCCACAGGAGCCTCTGTTCTTTGCCTTGGAGCTGAGCCGTTTCGTGGAGGTGTCGGGTGTCACGCGCCAGGTGCAAAAGGCCTGCGCGGCCCGGGGGGTTCCCCAAAATATGAGTACCCCAAACCAGTTTTTTTTCCATTCATAATCGATTTTGCATGATTTTGGGGGTCACCATTTCAGGACACCTCCAAATTTTGATAGATGTTGATAGATGTATTGGTTGCTCATTTGAAAGTGATGATCCCTTTTGATAGGATGATGCATGTAACCCAGATCCCAAAACACGAATTTAATGATCCGTATCGGCAGTTCATGTCCCATTTTTGATCCAAATGTGATGATCTTTGATGGTTATTTATCTTAGAATCCAATCCTACTTTGGTGATAGCAGGCTCTGGTGGCGGCATGCCAAGCCGCAGGGGAGTGTTATCACTCCAATGGTAACTCTGACTGCAAGGAGGAACATGAAGGAACAGAAAGCACAGATGGTTAGAGAACAGCCCGGCTTGTCCTTGATATTTGTTGATTTGGTGGCCTTTTTAAAATTTCTCCTTCAATAGTGGACTTCAATCCAAACTTCATTGCTCAGGTCAGGACCCCAGCACCCTGCTGGCCGGTCGGGAGTCAGAACCGCCCACCTTCGCCATGCCTCTCTATGCCTTTGACCAGTTTGAGGTCAGAGCTGGAGGAAGGGTCTTCGCCACAAGGGCGGGAGGTCCCCCTTAAACAGTTTCCTGATGAGTTTTTGGTGGTGCTTACCTGGTTGAGGTAGAGTTTGCCCTGGTGATTCCCCGCAGGTCTCCAGGAAGGGAACGGAGCCAGACCTGTCGGGTGACCTCGAATCCATTGGAATGCGTCGGGCGACTCAGGGCCGGCGCATGGTTGGTAAAGCCTGGTCCACAGGTCAGGGACTTCTTAGGGGTTGGGAGTGGGCAGTCTTGCAGGTAAGGGGTGCTTCAATAAAAAAAATCAAGACAGCACATGTTCCAAAAAACCAAGGAACAACATGGAAGAAGCTGAGGGTAGCATTGAAGACTATGTAAGCTGAATCAATTCTGTTAGATGTTGATTGCAAGGCAGAAGCGATGGTGCAAAGAACTACATGGCGGCCCTGAAGAAGGCTACAGTCTACAAAGCTGAGTCTTTTGGGTCACTGAAAATGGACATCAAACAAACAGGTGTTTCTGAAAATTGGGATGCCTCATGACAGGTTTCACTGAAAACAACGAACATTTTCGGATAATCTTGGGGTGTTTGGAGACCTTTGAGAGAGGATGCCTGTAGTTGTGTTCGGAAGGGGTGAGTCCGCGAAGCATGCTTTGAAAATGGACATGGTGTGGATGGTACGTATGAGTTACCCTTGCATGAGTAAGGTTTTTTGTCCTGAATGCAGGATTGGAGACCCCCAAACCAGGTTTCTTCACTAAAAAGTGACTCTGATATTACAATTGCGGTATCCGTACGATTGTTCTTTTGCAATCCTTCAATCCCTGCAGGCCTTAGCCGAGCTCACCACTGAACACGTGAGCTGCTGAGCGGTTCAGCTTGACACTGAAGAAGTCAGGTCCACAAAAAAATGGTGATATATGATGATATACAGATACCCTAATGGGAAAAGGGAAAATCATGGGAATATAAGCATGTAAACAACAATCTGTGGTGATACGAATGAGTGAACCTGGCTTCACTCCAAATGTTATTCCATTTCATCCGGTTCAGAACAGGATTCCCTTTCCGGGGATTTTCACCCCATGCCCGGAGGTTTACACCTTCTGCTTCTGGGGTGTGTCACAATTCCTGGATTGCATCCGTGCGCGGCCCCAGATGGGTCCAGTTGGCATAGGATTCGATCCCTACCCGACTGGTGACCCCGACTAGGCTGGGAGATCACCGGGGGAATTGTTCCCGGCATGACGGTGGACTTCAATAGGCGGCGACGCTTGCGGCATGGGCTGCGGTTTTGTTTGGGGGTCTTGGATTTGTGTCTTTGGATCATTAGGATGTGAACCTTGGGACATCGGACATTCATTTTGTGAAGTTACTGCCTTGATTCTTGGGCCCCCAACATAGAGCACCTGTGATGTGGAAAGGCTCTGTGGCTCTCCACCAGTGTACTTCAGCGTCTATGAGCTCAAAGACTCAGGAGCCCTGTCCGTGCCGAGTTTCCGTCTTTAAACGTTCTAGATTTCCAAGGTGACAGCGCTGCACAAAAAAAACCTGAAAAGCGAAGACCACTGGATTTCTTTGACTCACCTTGCGGTGGCCTGTAGGAAGTGAGAAGCGCCACTTGAAGTCCCGCAAGAGGAGATCCAGCTGCACATTTAATTGTCAGAGGGTTGTTTGGTGAGTTTTTTGCAATATGAGTTGTACTTTGGTTAGCTAAGGGAATCACAGGTAATAATATGAAGACTACCAGAACCGCTCGGTTTGAGTTGTTTCAATCTGTTTGACTCTGACAATTTTTCGCTTCGCATTCTGGAGTTCTGAGTTTGGCCATTGATTCCAATTTATCAAAGCTATGTGTCTAGGGGGGCAATGGCTTGCTTTCCTTGCAGGAGCTACTTCCGAGTAGCGGCCTGGAGTGCATTGCAACCACCTGCAGAGGCCGTGGGCCAGAGTTGGAGCCACAAGTATCACCGGGATGATCCGTGATTTGTTCGTTTGCCCATGGAAGCTGCGTTGCGGTTGGTTGATGTTGGTTGATGATTTTGCGATTGGGTTTAAGCCAACCACTCTTGTTCTACTATGTCCTGCTGTTCAGTAGATTCGGAACCCTTCGCTTCATTGGGCTCCAAGTCACTGGGTTTCTGTTTGCACTGCTGAAACAACAGGTTTTTGCATTGGTAAACTCACAACTGCTAAGCTGATAAGGGCTTGCAGTTGGGGTTCCTGCACTAGGGCTAAACAGCCAGCAGTTGCATGAACCATGGTGCATCAGCAGCTGAAGCTCCAGTTTCCAGGCACCTGAGAAACCGTTTACCAATGCCGACTTCAGCTGGGACGGTGGCATGGATTTGCTGGACGGGGAATTCCCTGGGAGTCACTTGGGGAGTGGTAAACCATGGTTGAACCTGTTCTGGACCTTCAAAACGACAGCTTGACTTGTGATTAGTGGATTGCAAACATGCAGTTTTTACACATGTTTTGGGGTGCACGAGTTTGATTCTCATGTACCTGCTGGGATTGGTGAAGGATGCAATAGGGTAGCAGGTTGACTGGATGAATGGCGGATGCCCCATAGAGGCTTCGGTGCATCATTGTGCGAATGGGCATGCAATTCACTGGCTTCTTTTCCACCACTTTCACACATGTTGACAAATTTCACAGCATCACTTTGCATCACCTCCGATTTTTTGCTGTTTGGTGTGCTTCCTCGTTGTTGAAACCCTACTGCCCGACTGGTACCGTTCAGAGTCCCGGGGCCTCCAGCCATTGGGCAGGACTTAGATCCCACACCAGCACCGGCCACGGGTGGGTACGCTGCCGCCGCGCCAAAGACAGCAGAGGCGTCTGTTGGAAGCCCTGGATGGCGGGGACGTGGACTTGGGTTGGATTGGGCCATCCGCGTATGGACTCCGCCAGCTATGGATTTGCAGCAGTGAATTGAAGACACAGCAGGGAGCTGACCCCAGGAATAGTATGGGCATTGTGACATACCTAGATTTGCAATGAGCCAGCGCCAAGGTCGACCTGCTGGGGCTGGGATGATGCTGGGAGCGAGAAGAAAAGCAGCCGTCCTTTGCGAGCATTGAACTAGACACCTCTGCAACAGGTAAGGAAGGATGGGATGATTTCTGATGGAGGGACGTGCTGACCTCAGGCTGCAGCCTGGCAGCCGGCCCTGGCTTTGTTGGAGTCAATGCCGGTGGCAGGCAGATGCTGCAGGGAATGCTGCGGGGATTCGGTGGGCGGGCGGGTTTCCAGGGTTTCCTCTTGTGGTACTACCGGATTTCTTCCATTTTCAAAGGCTACAATTTGGCTGCCATGACTTTGTTGGTCGAAGTGGCGGAAATGGAGGCTCAAGACAGCCATGACACATAGCATCCCTTGAGATTCTGCAGTGATTCCGCAGTGATGGTGGTAGGACTTGCTCTAGTCAGACAGCAGGGGTTTCGTGTCAGGCCTGGAAAGGAATGCCATCAGCTTCAGTGCCACCATCACAGCTTGTGCCCGAGCTCGTCATTGGCAGGAGCCTGGGAAGCAGACTGATGGGCGGTGAGAAGGATGACATGTGTTGTTGAAGTGATATTGGTAGCGAAAAGTATTGGCCACATTGATCGAATTCCTTTTCATCTTTTTCTCACCGCAATCAACAGGATTATTCTTTACCAGCAGCCAGTTTTTGGAAGGGGGAAAGGGACCAAGTCTCCGCATGGACGTTGAAGAACTGATCCATTCCATCGGTTTTGCTGGAAGGTGAGCTTGGAACTGCTGGGGAAGATGGAAGAGAGTAGCATCCCAGCCAGCCATTGACCCAGCCGGCCACAGTGTTGGTCTTGATGATGCCTTTCAGAAATAGTTGTCTCGTCAAAAACATGGTCATGTATTATATAATCATATAATTAATTATCACAATACATAATGTATATATATATATATAATAATATATATTATAAATAAAAACTATATATATATATATAATATAAAATATTATAAATAAAAACTATATATATATATAAATATATATATATAAATATAAATATATATAAATATAAATATATATTATATTATATATAATATGTATATATATATATAATTGTACATGTATTCTACAGTTTTCAGTGACTGGCATGATGCTGCTGATGCGGATGCTCAGCAAGCTTAGGGAGAACTGGTCGCTTAGGTGCTGCGACTCTAGGAGCTGCTGTTTCGGCCTGCGAGCGCGGTGGGGCACCCAGCTGAAGCTGCATGAGGAGCGGTGAAAACCAAAAAGTATCAACCACTTCACACATCACATGTCCATCTCTTCGCCAATCTATCTATATTACGAATTGTTACATATCATATCTCTATCACAATATCTATATGTTTATCTATTCAATTAATCTAATCTGTGTAATTTGCTCAAATCTGTCCATCGGTATCCCTATCTCCCATCTGATGCTCTGACTCCAAGGCGCGTACTGGACAGGTGCCATACACCTGCTGCAGGAAGCTTGGCGCAAGGGGCCGGGATGCTCGGAGTGCGGCGCCGTTCCAGCGCTGGATAGGGCATCATCCCAAGGGCCCCAAGATGCCTCCGGACTTGTGATGGTCAAGCCATTTTTTGATCCAAGGCGTCCTATGGGTCTTAGATGGTCTTGGATTTTGGTCAGCCGGTCAGCCGGTCAGCCATTTGTCCAGGCCCTCGCCCAGTGTGCTGGCACTGAGTGCTGCTATTAACGCCTGTGGCCAGGGCCAGCGTCCGGAGCCCTGGGAGGTCCTCAAACTCGTGGAAGTTACTTTGTGTTTTTCTAGTGATTGGTAGTTGGGTAGCCACTTGTTTTCTTGATTTTTCCTGTGGTTTCAGGGAATTTCACTGCAATTTTTTGAAGCGCCCAGTTGTATTTGGATGGTTGGGATGGTTGGGATGGTTGGGATGGTTATATTGCTTGTGAAGGAACTGTTCTTAAGAGTTTTTATCTCCTGATTTGTTCATATTTGCAGCTGAAAATTACCCAGTTTCAGACCTGCCGTGAAGGATGGGACCTGAGTCTTCAACTACTTGGAGAAGCCCAGGGGCCGAAGACTCAATGGGCCGTGAGGGTTCAAAATGTGTCAAGATTTTCGTTTTTTTCCACTAAAACCATGTCTTGGCATTGGCATTTTCAAAGAAAACATAGTTCTGTTTTTTGGTGAAGCTAGGTATCTGGGTTTGACCCGTAATGACACCACAGATCTTTGTTTATTGTCCCGATATCTTTTTTTGGGCTGACAAGCCAGCTTTGACCCACACCCACGTGACCATGACACGCGGATACATCCAGCGCCATCAATTGAAATGGTGGTGCCACGGAGATTGCGCATGTCAGCAGGTGTTTTTCAAATGTTCTCTGCTTTCAACATGGACAAAGAAATATAAGATTTTGGGTCACACACACAGGGATACTGCTTTTGAGATACACCAAGCAAAACTTCTCAAGTTCATGGAGCGACTTGCTCAGAGTCAGCCAGCTCTTGATGTGTCTCGTCCTGAATTTGAACCATCGAAATTGGAGGGACCCATGGCCCATCTTGAACTGGCTCATTCTCCATGGGAATCGTATCTCCCAATATGTTCCCTTCACCCACTTTGCCGAGGCACAGCATTGAAGCGGATGCCAGGGCCACAACAACCAGAGGAGACACTATATTTGAGCTGTGTTTGGAGTTTGGATACCTGTTCTAAGGGAATCACCTACAACTGTGCGATTGGGGCTTGCGCGAGAGCAAGAAGGTTTGCAATTTGCGGTTGAGGATGTGGAGTCTTGTCACTGGTGCTAGACTGATTACAGAATGGACATGAATCGGTCCGGGACAGGAGATTGATGAGAGACTATTGCCTTAGATTCCTTAGATAACAAGCAGAGATCTTTTAAGACAGTCATGGTTTCGTTCACTCCCATCACGTGGACATGATGCCATGGCCAGTCCGCTGATGCGCAGCGATTTTATCATTTGCAGGTGGGAAGAGACATTGGTGCTGCTGTCACTTAGCTGGATCAGTTTGAGAGGTCTGCTGATTTTATTGGCAAGTGATTATTGTGATGCATTGGAGCTATCACCTGACATTCTTTAGCGCTAGCTATACTTGTGGCAATTGTTTGAAGTGGACGAACTCCGAAGTGAAGGTCCGACATGCGAAATCGCGACCTTGTCCCAGACTATGTCACACACAAGGCGCCTATATGTCTTGAAATTTTGGTCGTTCCATCAAAGAAGCTTCTGTCCATCTCCCGCCCAAAAGATAGAACAGTAACAGTCATTTGCAGGTTCATTTGCCACTATAGTTGTAAAAGATAGAACTGGTGTAACAATTGTAATAACCCAATTTTTCCTTTTCTATGTAGGGATTGCTACACACTTCCCATGCCGCTGTGTCAGTTGGTGAACACTGCTGTGGCTGACAAAGGCCCAAGCAGCGGGAGTCGGCTGTGTAGGGGATTGGTCCGAACAAAAACACTCGGACCTGAGTTGTGATGTTGGTATATTTTGTTATACATTTGGCAAAGCTTGATGGTGTTTAGATATTAGATGTGTTTTATTTGATAGATACATTATATATATACTATGATATAAATATATACTATGATATATATATATATAATATGATATATATATATACATGCATTTATAATATATAATATGATATATATATA